AAAAAAAAAAAAAAAAAAAAAAAATCACAACATTGTCATAAAAATGCAAAGGAGAGAGACAAATCTGTTCTGGAAAAATCTGTACTACAGCTGCAGATAAGAGCATGGTAGAGGAAGAAAGGGTTGAGGGGATAAGAAAAATGAAATTTCCATATGAGAAGGAACAATTACTTTAGACTTTCTGCTGAGAAGAATGCACTTCTGCGAGGAAAACATTTCATCTGGGGAACTTCCTAATAAAAAGACCTTCTTTGCTTATATAAACGATGTCAGTAATTGTAGAATATTCCACATATAGCACTGTGCCTTTATGCATCTTACATAAACATCTTCTGACCTTGAATGCTACAGTTACCACAAGCTGTCACTGCGTTTGCTCCGTCTTGCTGCCAACACATGAACATCCCAGCACACCTCTGGCCTACAGTAATGCAAAGATTGACAGAGTCCTGAATCCATTCTAATTTTCCATGGGAGGAAACAGCCATCCAAAGATGCACCACATGAGACAACCAGACCTTACTGCAAATACAACTTGTTTCCTTCAGAAAGAGCAACCTGACAGGTAAAAGTCACTCATTTAATTCCTGGCCTGTGTGGATTGGGACCATCAAACTCCCTTTCCAATTAATTTCATCCCTGCAGAAGGGATTTAACTTCACTACCAGGACCAAATGCCAGAAGTTGTAATCCTGTCCCTCAGAAATAACCTGACTGTAGCTGTGCATGTGCTGGGCTCRTCCTGCCAGCGTCCCCGCACGCTCCTTACTGCAGCCTGGGCACTTCAGTGCTCAGCCAGTACAACCGGCCCCTGCTTCACCAACACTCTTCTTCTCRGTTATATAAGTACCTGCTCCCAAAACATTTGTGCAATGTCTATCTTCTAAAACACACAATATAGGCTGAAGAGTGCTCAATAGTCCGACACTGCTAGTAAAAACCTGCTGTTATTTTTAGATCACGAGCTAATTCTCACTCACCTCCATGACCCTTTGTCTAATCCGTTCCTCACTGTCACCTACCTTTACGCTACCCCACGAGCAGCCCTGGCTCGCACTTCCAGCTAGACACACCATGGAAAGTGACCACTTTGGTGACTCCAGGGAACCAAAGGAGACGTCRCTGCAGACTCCAGCGCCTCCAGTCACCGCTCCAGGGAACAGTCCTGCTGTTCTTGCAGGGCTCTCCTGCAACATGAAAATCCGGGAGGACTCGGAGCATTTGCCGGACGCGCCAGGGAGCCTCYCGCCCGGCTGTGCCCATGTGGCTCCTTCCGCAAGGATCCCACCTGGACTGGGAGGAAGGGCAGCCCTTTGGCGCCACCGCGACTCCTCCGGCTCAGTAATAAAACAAACCCAAACATCCTTAGATCCACAAAACCACAGAATCCTGAAGGTTGGAAGGGACGTTTGGAGATCATCTAGTCCAACCTCCCTGCATGYACATACAGGGTCACCTAGGGCACAGGGCASAGGATTGCATCCACTAACACAAATACACATAAATTCTATAAATATTCTATAAATATTATTAGTAAATTTTCAGATGCAGACACTGAAACTTACTTTCTAACTGTCACTGTTTTTTTTTTCTTTTCTTCTTATGAAYAGATGACATGTAGTCTTGCAACACACCTCTAAACTGGTGGAAATCTTATTTATGGAGCAAAGTAGATATCACTAGTACCATAAAAAAGCAAGTATTGACTTCCTGCGAATACAACTAAACTATCCAGCTCCCCACACTCCCGCAGCAGATTAAAATATGGCACAAGAGGATAAAGCACAGGWGTATGCTGCTTTGATGACTCCAATTTCAATATGGAGAATATACAGCTTGAAACGTTTTGGCGTTCTTTTGTATTATGCCTTGATGGAAAATAATTTTCTGCTTTTTGCTTTAATGTCTTTTTAATTGGACATAAGGGTATTAACRAAGAAGAAAATGTAAAAAGGCAAATAATGCGTTTCCATCACATTACAAAAAACAGTGATATTCAACAACACTGTAAACCAGAAAATATCAATACCACAATCAAAACTAGATTCAAAATCTTCCTGGCAAGTAACCTTTCTCTCAGAATAGTAGAAAACGTTTAAATCAAAGAAGACATCCAAGAAAATATCATTCTRTCATATAGATACCCAAATTCGTTTACAAAACCTTGGAGAGGAAGTTTTGGGCCAATGAAAGAAAACAGCCCAGTGCTTGGCTGGCCTGAGTTGTGACACAGAGAAAGACTGTGACACTGAGAACGACTCCTTCTCCTTTGGTTTGGTTCAGCATCAGTAAAGCTCTGTCCTCGTTTTAACAGCAGGGACCCCTGCTTTGATGCAACCAAAGCAGTTATTCAGAAAACTCTCACAAATGGCAGCACAGCTAGGAATATTTATAATAATGTGCACTGTCTCATGCCTTAAAACCAGGTTTGCTTAATCCCTTTCAAAATGAGATCATACATTTCAAAACATGAAAGAACAACTGGCAGCATCTAAAGGTTCCCGTTTTGCCCCGCAGCACCGGGACAGGGAGAGGACTGGCGAGCGAGCCCCTAAGCTACCCCAGCACATTTGGCCTCCCCTTTTCCAGGCTGCTGGTGCCAGGAGAACCACGTCTGCTGATGGCCAAGGGGCGGCTGAGCTGCCCGCGCGGGCAGCCCCAGGCCGGCCTCGAGCCCACCCGGAGCCACGAGCCGCCCGTGGCACCTGCCGAGAGCGACGGGCCCGAGGTGCCCGGACACCAGCCGGACACAGTCTAGAGGCACTCAGCACTCGGCAAGGAGGTGCTGTTGGCACCTTTGCCGGCCACACGCTGCACGTCTCGCTCCTGCCCTGCTCGGCCGAACCAGCCTAACGCCGAGAGGCCACAGGCCTCTGTGGTGCGAGGGCAGGGCTCGCAGGTGCCAGGCCGCAGCCTCTGCTTTCGCCACTGTGTCCTTGCCTGAAAGCTAAGAAACTTCCACGGGTTTCCTTTGCCAGACTGAGGTAGGAAAAAATAAAGTCTATCAGTCTTCTTGCAAGTGTTCTTGAGGTACTGATTTCACTCCTGTTCTCATTTTCTGTTTCTAACTGTCATAAAACAGTTTTACTGATTCTTGTGCATGCAAAATCATTTTGTACACACTCCAAAAGCACCTATGGCTCCAGCTTACTGAAAGTAAAATACCTTTCTCTGTCTAGTAAGTGGCTCCAGTCTCTGCACAGAGGGTTTTTTGCTGCAGCTCTCCTGTACTGTCCACACTCGCACCACAYTGAACCTTCACAAACCGTCCCATTTTCACGCCATAGTATTTAAAAAGCCTACTAATAAAAAGGTCTTTAATTTATSACATTCTTTGACCAATACAGTTTTAAACAAGCCCTGAAGTACACCTAGGACTGAGATATTTAAGCAGTTCATTACACAAAGTTGGCCCGAGACAAGACTCCATTTCTCCTTTCACCAGTGCCTCACAAACTGCGCTCCAGAGCAACTGCATTGTGAATCACTAAAATCCCTTCCAGCTAAATATATGCAAGCGATAATGAATTAATTTTATAATGGTGGCTATGAAATCTACTGAAGCATGCGAATAATACTGCAGGTGTTGATCTCTGACAGATTTCATCAGATAACGCAAGTTCAGTGATTGCAGGCGGGTATCAATGGTGTGAAGGAAGTTTGCGGTAACAAAATCATTAACATAAAGAAATTCACCGCTGATAACAGCTTTGCTTTGACTTGACATGACTACACAGACATATAAAGCAATGTAATTAGCTCAGAACCACTATTTTCTGTACAAGCAATTGAGCAGAAATGCAGCATTGCAGCTTTGAAAGGCTTAATGAGTATGTGTGGGTGAAGGAACCACACCACAGAAAAACACACAACCGCCGAGCAAAACTAGTGAATTAAACATCCCTTGCTACTCTACATAGAGTTAAGCAACAAGTTCC